ATGGACTTCTATAATGAAGAAAGGGCATGCAGATTAGATATTCCTGGTACAACCATAAATAATATATGATTTCCCAAGATGTATTAGCAGAAACCTGCAGGTTTCACAGTTACTGAACGAGGAACAAATCAAAGTGGACAGCAAATCATTGACTAATCATTGCAGTAAATGAGGGATTTATTGAATCAGGGATTCGCTGCCCTGAGAGAATCGACAGGAGATGACCAAGGGATTATATGTAGTTTGTGGATTGTTCTTTGACATCTTCAAGACGTTTGGAAGGTGTCCCTCGTATCTGCAGAGCGAATGCTCTGATGCTGCTGAGCAGCTCCTGCTTAGGCAGGTGCTCCCTTAAATATCTCAAGAGTGTGGCTGGTTGAGCCTCTRTCACTAGAAGAGTTTTTCCGGGGTCAGAAGGAGGATTTCCTGAATTAATCATTCTTGGTTAGTGTTATTAAAGGGCAGCTTTTGTGACACTGCTTCAGCATGCCAAATCTTAGGGGTTTAGTGATTTTTTTCTTCTTGAGATTCAAGAACTTCTAATTAGTGAGTCTTTAGAAAAAAATCTGTGTCCTGGCTTATGTAGGATTTAAGAGCGAATTTACCGATGTAATYGTTGAAAGGATAGGCCTTGGTAATGCCTCATGGGTCTTTCCAGGAGGCAAGTAAAACTTGCATTTGAAACCAYGGCCTAAAGTGTATTGTAATGGTGCACTTTAGGGTTGTAGTATGAAATACGGTGGTATGAACTGCAACTGAAATTGCATCAAGTCTCTTTTTGTATAACCAGTGTGTCTTTACGATGTCACTGTTTTTATTTATGTGAAGGTGCATCATGTATACTCCAAGCTCTCATTTCCAGTTTGTGTTCACATCTGCATACTTACGTATGTGGCTTTCAGGGAAAAAAAAATGCATCTATGTATTTACCTATTCAGTGGATAGCTTAGCTGTGAATTTTTGAATTCACAAGCTTCAGAAGGCACAAAATGAAGACAAACACTCTAAGTCCAAAAGCCTTTTGCTTTAACTTTTTTGTTTATTTAATCTCTGCTCAAACTTTATTGCTAATTTTCTTCTATTTTCCTCTACTCCCGTATATCTAGAGGAAATGATTCTCCAGCCAGCGCAGCTTGTGCCGTGTGCTAAGCTCTAGCAAATGCTTGAGCTGTTTTACTCCTGAGTGACAAACAAGGGGGAAGGAGGGGACATAGTCGTATAAGTCTCTGCTGAAAGAGGACTGTTTATTCTGAGTAGCCACTTGGGAGGTATTTTTTTGCAAAACTAAATAAAATTTAAAAATACATTATTGCACTTCTTGGGTATTGCATAAAAATCTTTAACACGCTAATAAAATCCAATATTACAGCCTTTATGCTCCTCACTTTTTTTTTTTTTTATGACTCATCTTTACTCTGTAGTGTTTTGTAGTTCTGATTTTTCCAATGAAATACTATTTTSAGTCCACTCAGAACTGATGAAATTTGAGCTAGGCATTAGATTAAAGTAGATTTTTTTTGTCTTTTTGAAGAGAGGTTTCTCTGGAAGGTTAAGAGTGTGCTACTAATATACTTGGTTTTCTTGCTTTATGTCTTTTCTTGTTAYTCTCTTTCTCTAGTAGGGGAAAAAGCAAACAAAATTGAAATAAATTGAGTATTGCTAAAGAGACAAAAAATGAAAGTACTTAAATCTGAGTGGTATTTCTGAAACTGTTTTGTGTGTGTGTGTCTGTAGCATATGAAAAAAAGGAATAATCTGTAATGTATGAAAGCCTGTGTTTTTTTCAAGACACTTTCTCTTATTACTAAATTATTTCAATATTCAGTATTTCACATGCAAAGTTCCTTTCATGCTAAAAGATTTCTTTGTCAAGAGTTATTAATGAGGAATAGCATGGATGATGCAGAGCTGAAGATGCCAACAGGGCGCCTATATATTTTCCAAGTCCTTAGGTTGTTCCTTGCCACGGTAGCCTTGATCTTTGTGTTGTCATCCTTGGTTTGGACAGCTCCGTGGTGGGGATGGGGGCAGAGAATTAAATCCAGGGCCACTCAGTACTTCATTAGAGAGGTGAAGCCAACCTCAGCTCTCACCGAGGTTGGGAATTGATTCAGAATCATCAGAAGAGGAGGATGAACAGGCTTTACCTGTAGGTAAGGAGGAGCCAGCTGAGGAGATCCATTGCTAACTGGTGGGATTTCTGAGCACGTTCAAAATCTTGTTGCCTCCTTTTTATTTTACACTTGGCGAATATTTAAGAAGCTGCATCGACTAAAAGAAAATAAGGGATTATTCTAAGGATTTACTTCACAACTAGTGCTGTCAAAATTGGCAAAATCTTTGAAATTAGAAGTGAYGTTTGCAGTTTAATTCTGCATCTACGGGGATTCTAATACCCAAAAGCATCAAAATAAAGAATTACGTAGACTTAATAGCGCAGCAGTGGTAATATCCTCATACCTTCCTTCTTAACCTGGAACAAATTGCTACCTAGAGAAACACTTCCAGCATTTGTAAAATATGGATGATTTTGAAGAGCTTTATTCAGATGTACGTTGTGTGAAAGCAAAATATTGATACACGCTCTGCTAATTCAACAGGCTTGTATTCCTTCAGGAATTGTGCTCTTAAGTACTCCAGTTTCTAAAACGCATAATTTATCACGGTAGGGCTTTTTTKGGATATTACATAATATTTTTTGTTTGTTCCTGCACGTGGCGTATGCTGAATCCTCCGAGGAAGAGTGAGGCTGCTCCCGCTCGCCGTGCCGGGCACAGCCTCAGCTGGGCCCTTGGACACCCCACACACCCCACATCCCACAGGGAAACAGCGGCCAGGCTTGATTCCCCCAGGCTGTCACCTCTGCAGCCCCAACAGGCCCCGCTCCCTCMGCCTCACTGCGCAGGGAAACGCTGCCGCCCCGGGTAGCTCCGTAGTGCCCTGCCGAGGCCCTCGTGGGCTCCTTGTGGTGCCCTGCCGARGCCCTTGTGGGCTTCTTGTGGYGCCCTGYCGAGGCCCTCGTGGGCTCCTCGTAGTGCCCTGCTGAGGGTTCGTGGGYTCCTCATAGTGCCCTGCTGAGGGTTCGTGGGCTCCTCATAGTGCCCTGCTGGGGGCCTCGTGGGCTCCTCGTTGTGCGCTGCTGAAGGTTCATGGCCTCCTCACAGCGCCCTGCTGAGGGTTCAAGGGCTCCTCATTGTGCCCTGCTGAGGCCTTCGTGGGCTCTCGGAGGTTTCTTGGTTTGCTTCACTGTGTCATTAGTGAAAATACTTTGAGTTTCTGGGGCAGATGCAAGAAAGAGATGGAAAAACAGTCAAAGGAGGGCGGTAGCATTTTGTTTTTTCATTCCTGCTAGAACACTTGCTTTCTGTGTGCAGGTAAGAAATCAGAAAATAATAACCTGGGCAAAAGATCAGGGAAGGATTATCTGACTTTAATCACCACCACTTTGCAGTAACTTCCTCACAATCTGGAAGGTTGTAAGGGAAAAGTCTGGTGGCAGAAATCCCATTGCTAGTTCTGCTGGATCAGTGTGGAGTTTTTCATGCTCTAGATGCTTCCTCTTCAATAAGTAAATTCAGATGATGCCCTGTTGTCACCCTAACAATTCTCAGAAATGCCTGTGAGGATCCTGTGTTGAAAAGAATCCGGTTCTTTTTGCACAAAGAAATGGCAGTTGCCCTGGAAAATCTCGAGCRAGGAAACCAGAGAAAAATAAGAATTTAGTTTCTAGAGAAAGTTTGTTCAACTTCATTTGTTTTTTGTGCATAAATAGGTCGAGTCATCCAGAGCTCCTCCTCCCCCTTCCCATTAGTACTGGCTAATGCACTTTTACACCACAGGTTGCAGTCTGAAGAACAAAAGCCTCTTTTCCTCCTTTTCCTCTAGGAAGTGTTTTCTCTAGTGGAAAGCATTCGTCTTGTTATACATAGTGTTGTGAATTCCAATAACTGACTGCTTTTGATGAGCTGCAATGGAGACTAACTGCATTTTTATCAATAAATAAACCTTATTTTTTAAAATAGAGGTAAAAAAAAAGTTGAAAAGTTTCAGCACACTATATTAATATTTAAATATCTTTTATATTCAAACTAATAGAAAGTAATACAAAATAATACATGCAAAGTGTATTCCTTTTAATCTGGGATTGATTCATACTTTTAAAACATTGTATGGAATAAAATGCTTTATAGAAAACATTATTACAGCTGATGATTCGTGAATACATTTTCTTTGTTTTCAGTAGGGTAATTATAGTTAACTCTTAAAGAAAAAGTCATAAGCACTGGGGAAGAAAATATTCTGAAATTTAATTCCAGTACCATGAAACATGTTTTTAAGAAAAAATGAAATTGCTTCTATGTACGAGGCTCAAAATATTTTAGGCTGTTTTATAGAATATCTTTTTTAATGTGTTCTCATCATCCCTGTTCTGATTACATGTGTTCTAAGTTTTAAAAATATTACTAAAAATGAAACAGAATAAGAGGCATTGTTTTCTAAGGAACGTAAAGTGCTTTTGTAATTCTCATTAGCAGTTCTGAAATTACCTTTGGAAGTTTCACTGGACCAATTTTCTCTTATGCCAGCTACCAAAAAAAAAAAAAAAAAAAACTGTTGTAGCAAACTCTGTCAGCAATCATGCTAATAACGAAATTTGTAAAGTTGTGGGTTTTTTTTTTCCCCATAAGATCAGTGTAATGTTTTCCTTTAGGTTTTAAAACACAGACCTATCATCATCATCCTTCATGTATTCACTTCTTAAAGTTAATTTTAGAAAAATCTCTACCCTATATCTCTTTCTCGACATTTCCGTTTTGTAAAATGTAAATTTTATCTTGTAGTTTGAATTMAATGTTAGCTATTACTCACCCAGCGGATAGATCTAGTCAGAGGAGCGAAAATGAGAAAAATGTTCTAATATCTGTTGTTCACAACATCAAGCTACAAATGGCCTTTATTTTTTTATTTTCTTTCTTTTTTTTTTTCCCCTTTTGCAAAAGGCTCTGAGACGTGAACTGAAGGATAAGGAACAAACCATTCTCAATGCTGTGGACCAGGCGCGGGTTTTCCTTGCTGACCAGCCCATCGAGGGGCCTGAGGAGCCAAGAAGGAGCTTACATTCAAAAACAGGTCAGAAAATGTTCCCTTCCTGTTCAGARCAGTGAAAAGGAAAGAAAAAATACTTACATGTCCCTTGTACATATTTTGTATCCCACTTGCTTGTTTAGGCTTTATCATTTTTCCTGCCATATACTGATTCCTTTCATGTCATGGGTTTGTCTCAAATCTCTTTGGAAGTACCCAAGTTTGTAATGTAGCAAGAAGGAAAACCTCTTATATTTCCTTCTTCAGTTGTCAAGGCACTGATGCTGTCAGTTGCTGACTTAATTATTTATTCATTCAATCAGAGTCCTTTCAAAAGCCATAGAAACACCCAGACCAAATGAAGGTAAAATGTTTATCACTGTTATTACAGTTTATCACTGTAAAACGCTCACTTATTAGCAGAGGTTACCATCAATAATGTAGCAAGTGCTGACAATGTACAAGAGTAAATTCTTGTTAGGCAGTTTTGTTACTGTTATTGTATGTGTATGTTTAAGCTTTGTGCTATACAGATGSCAGTAAGAACACGATGGCAGGGAAGATGATGACCACGGTAAGCTGCATAGCAATAGTGGTGAAGCAGATGGTCTGCAAGAGATACGTGAATGTCTCTTGTCCACTCACCACATTTCTGAACCAATTGTATGTAATCAGACTGGGAAGCTTCATAGATGTCTGCTAGGTTTATTTTACTTTTCCTTCTGTAGATGCGGATTTCTGTATGTTCTAGGTCCACAGTACGTGCTCTTGTTTTSAGCAGTGTATCATTTTCTGTAGAACAACAGAGTTTCAGGCCAAAAAGCCCCGTGGCATCCTCTGCTCTGCTCTTTTATGTGTCACAAGCAGTTAAATTTCACTCAGGGCTGAGTCTAGTAAATTGTTTTGTGGAAAGTTACGCCACTGATCCCCAGAAAGATGCTCCTCTGTGTTTAAAGACCTTCAGGGACAAAATTTTTCTTCTGGTTAACCATTTCCAACAAGAGTTGTGTTTGCTTTTGAAAACGTTCAGGTTTTTGTTTTTACTCTCAGGCTGTCAATAACTGGTATTGTCAGGACTAGCTATAAATATAAGTAGCTCCATTAGCTTCAGTGACATGCTCTCAGGGTTACTAAGGGTGAAAGAATCTTGCTGTAGACCATAAACTCATGGTTTGCTTTTCAGATAATGTTGTGCAGTAAACAGCACCGTAAAATGATCATCTAAACAGGTAGTTTGGGCTGCTTCTATATTATAAGCAATAACAACTTTTATTTTTAGAAATCGCAGTTGCAGGAGTGTTTAGGTGGCAGGTTAGCTACTCCGGAGACAAAAGTGTGGAAAACATCCAACTTTCCATGCAGTCCTTTCAGATACACAACASCATAAACAGTGCTGTTGTTTTGTTGCCTGTTTTGCAAGAAATAAGAGTGTGTTGGATTAAGTGTCTTGTGATTCTTGCAACATCCATCTATCTCTGTACAGAGAGTTTTCAAAATAATGGTGAAATCCTGCCACATGATTCTAGCACAGCATCAACTTGGTCTCATATAACAGTGTAATAAATTAAGACAATCTGAATAACCTTGTCACAGCCTTCTGAAAAGCACAATCACTACTTAATTGAAGAAAGCTTTACCATACTAGAACATCTCATAGCTATTCATAATATTTAAAAATAGATCTTATTATATCTTTTCAGACATCATCTTTGAAGCTTTCTCTGCTTCTTTATAAAACACACACTGCAAATTAAACTGAATCATACTGTAATTTCATCTTTGTAGCAATTGTCTGATTTCACCATATTTGCACTTGGGCTGTTAGGTAGAAAATAATTCTGTCTAGGCATAAAGTACTCAATAATTTCTTAATTTTCTCCTTATTATAGATTGACTATGGAGAATTCTCTATGTTCAGTCTTTGCTAGACTTACTTGCTGACTCTGGGTATCTTTCCTTTTTTTACCTTCTCTTCTTGCCCTTCTCCATTTTTTTTTCCAGATTTTTTTTCATACCAGGAAATTATATTGTTGCTGCAAGGCAAACAGTAAGAAAAAATTAGGAGAAAAGTAATGAGAATCATAGAATCACAGAATCCTTAAAGTTGGAAGGGACCTTTAGAAATCATCTAGTCCAACCCTCCTACGCATGCAGGGTCACCTGGAGCACAGGATTGCATCCAAGTGGGTTTGCAAGATCTCCAGAGAAGGAGATTCCACAACCTCTTTTGGCAGCCAGTTTGGAACTTGGTCATACAAGGCCTATTTAAAGGAATTTTCCATAGATACACTTTGTTACATCCCAAGAGGACAGAATATATTTGTGAGAGATCAAAAGTTACCAAGAAAGTTGTCATGAGGTAGCCTTGGTTTCATCTTCTTTCCTGGTTTGGTCTTCTACTGTATACACCATATAGTAGTTGGCATATTCAAACACTCTCTCTTTATGTCCAAGAAACTTCCTTTGGAGTTAATTTAATCATTCATCCATTTTATCTTCTGATCCCCACCCCATATTTCCTTAGGGAGCCTCATCACAAAAAATATACTTAGCCTTTTCTTGCCTTTGAACTTCAGCTACTAAATGGTGCTGACTGATAAACCACCAGGCCAGCTGCTGAATTTTATAGATGAATGGGATAAGGAAATTGGAAATGTTCCTGGTTTTAGCTTTGTTGTCACTCGTCTGTGCTATCGTAGAAAGCTTAGAGAATTGTGATTAGCTGCTTGCACATCTTTAGATCTGTGGCATAGCTAGTTGGCTTCTCAGATCCCTGAACTATTAGTGAATTTAGAGGCCATGGAAGAAGTTGGAAATAATATTTCCTATCCCTAGGGTTCAACAGATCAATGATAGAGCTTTACTGAATTTCTGTCCTTAAAATTCCATTGATGTAGTGGGGGAGTAGAGCTAATTTTTTTAGCAGATAACATAAATTGCATCCCAGCAGATTAGGCCACTACATTGATTCCCACTGAAGTAGTGAATATTTCCAGGAGTCTGCAGTATTGCTAATGTGTTTTAGTAGCTCCTACTCTTGGTAAGGCCATCAGATTCCTAGCTTTAAAAGCTCGTATTTGGTAGTGAAGATGCTAAATGCACCATTTAAAATTGAAAATTAAATCATTAAAATCATTTAAAATCAGGTATTTCTCATCTGTTATCTGCATTTACTTATAAGTGCAGAAAATCTCGTAACTCACATCTGTCTCACAGGAGAYGTATTAATATGTATCAGTGAATTACATACATGTACTTCACTTGAACTAGCAGGAATGCAACATGGTCTTCTGTACCAGGTGTAAATAAAGGTAGAACCTTTTTTTTTTTTCTTTTTAAACARTTCAGATGCCTCCCCTGATACTTTTTTTCCCTCTTAGCAAGGAAGAATCTGCAGAAACAGGCAATTTACCTTTTTCTAATGTACATACGAGGCAGCATKTCTATTGCCAGCCACGTAGGTGTATGCACACAGCTACTGCTCACTACTGGAATAATTCTTCATTTTCTACTGCTCACCGGACCGAACACTAGGTCTCTGAGTGTGAAGATTAGAGGAGGTGCATTAGAGAGCAGCAAACTCCGCCTGAGGACATAGTGGGTCATTTTATTTCTGTCTTAGACATGAGAACCTCAGGATGTGACTAGAGAAATACTCATTCTTTACCCATATGTGTGCTACGTTATGGCCTTGTTTTATTTGAACTACTGGATGCTTCCCAGGTGGAAGCCACATTCATAAACGTTAACTGTTGCCTTGTTTTAAAGCCTGCAGAAGCCCTCATAGCCTTGATGGCAAAAACTCTTCTCCGTTGCTACTAACACCACAGCTGCTTGATGGATGTCAAAGGTTAGGACCTTGTTTGTGAGAAAATTCCCTTCTTAAGCTCTAAAGCAAACAGAGCTAAATGACATTGTAGATGAGCATCAATAGAGCAAATTGGAAACTGCAGATTRTCAAACAATGTTGAGGAAATTGAGGAACTGTTGAGGAAAACATGCTGAGGAAACTTGCTTGGAGAGTTGGTGATCAATTTAAAAAAAAGTTCAGAGGAGAGTGTTTTCTTAAAATCCAGTGCGGTTAAAGCGCATCATCAAGCCAAGAAGTCTATTGCTCTGCGTGGCTTTTCTTTCTATTTTCTATTTTTGTTTTGTTTTGCAGTATAATTGATTTTTTTTTTTTTTTTTTTGGGGGGGGGGGTTGGGTTGGTTTGAAATGCCCTTAGGGGATTTAGGGGATGTGCATCTGTTTCTTTTAGTCTTTCTTCAGTCTACCTGCCATATGTGCTGTGCAAAAAAAAAAAAAAAAAAAAAAAAAAAGAGAGAGAGAGAAAAAGAAAAAGAAAATTACTGCTCTTTGGAAGAATAAAAGGCCTCTTACAATGTGTAGCTGCAGTGCTCTGAAGAGGAGCATCGAATTGCTTCCTCGGTCGCTTAGAGTTAACTAGGATGTAGTGATGATGCTACACCCATCTTCATTAGCAGGAATTGTCCCTCCATAGGAACTGGAAGAAGACTTTGTTCTTTGGTGATTCCATAACATTATTGTTATCTTCTTTTTTTTTCTCTTTTTCTTTCCTTATTATGTGTCTGTCTTTGCTTTAGGAAAGTCCTAGAGCAGTGCTAGCATCAGACTTTCCCTGTGCAAAAATGTTTTGATATTGTTTTGAATTATATCATTTATAATGTTTATAAAAGTGTTTTGTGATTATACTGATAAATTACACCGGTTRTGATGAAAAATATGCTGTTCCCAGGGTTGCTGGGAACCTAACTCTAACTTTCCAGGGACAGGTGCTATAGAAAGGCTAAATTCTCTCTCTCAAACAGAAAGTATTTTCTCTTTATTTCAGCCATTGTTTTGCATCCTTCCCACCARGGGCCATTGGGAAATGCATTATTTAAGGAATATGTGTATTTGTGAGTATTGTTCTCATTTCTCTTTGTCTGGAGACTATACTCCAGAAATAGTCTTTCTAGAAATGCCTACCTGAAGTTAATGGCTGTGGGTGTTCATTTTCCCTGCTTTTGCAATGTTGTCTTCT